ACCTTAGTTGAGAGCAACTAATAATAGTAATTAATTTTATGAAAATACACTTAAAAGTCCAAAGTTCTGGGCCCTGGCCTTAAGTTTGATACCCTTGTTTTAAATGTTATCACAACACAAATGTTAGTGATGCCATATAGTAGCAGTAACATTTATAATCCAGAAATTCAATTTGCCCCTTTGGGCAGCTTTCAGATAAACAGAACCACAACAATAAAAATGTCACAGTTACAAACATCACAGATATTAACAAGATGGACCTGCAACATCTCCCAGAATCAAAGCACAGCTATGTGCAAATGACACTCTCGACGTTACACCTGGATTTATTCAACAATTACACTGCAAAGCATAAAAAACTTCTGGCACAAGAAGTTTGCAGAGGTGGAACCCCATACATTTGTCTTGATGGTAGGAAGTTATACTCACTATAAAAAAAGTGCGTCACTGAGGATGTCTCTCCACGTTTATACCTCTTAGGACTCACTAACTTTTGTCATACCGTGTTGCTACTGACTTGCAATCGGACTGCCCATGTTCACAATGTTATTGAATTTGCTCTTGTTGACTATAGAGTGAAGAATGCTAGACAATATAGCAGAAATTAGAATTACTCTCCACCACTGAATAATAAAGACAAACCAGAATGTGTCAAAAGTCAAAAGCATATAAATCAAAAAGGGACAAATGTGCACATTTTGGTACATTTATCCACTTTTGAAATATTATGCAGGGATCTGCTGCACTGTAATGCTGCCCCTACTATTTGAAGTTTAATAAATGATACCTTGGCGATTAGAAGATATAACTGACTACCTACAACCTTTTCTTTCCGTTTAATTCATAAGAAGTGTCATTTTAGTATTTTAAAATGCTGTTTTATCAGCATAAAACGCGGTGGCTTCCTTAAAATACCTCACAGTTAAGAACTGGTGGTCCAACATACAGTAAAGCGTAGTGCTAAGCTTTTGGTTGAGACTGCACTCGATATAGATGAGAACACAAGCTCCCACTGCTTCACTTTTTGGCTGTTCCTGGAATTAAGGACCTTGAGTTTCCTGGAGTTAAGTTGTTTTTAACAACTGCTAATAGCTAAACCATTCTTAACCCATTAGTTATGGTCTGGTCACACCTGTTTTGAAAGAGCTGGCTTCCTTCAGCTTGTTTGTAAGTGACGAACGTTTGAGGAATCAAAGTTCATTCACCCAACTAATTTATTCAAGCAATTTAATTGTAGCACATATTTATTAGGGGCAAAAAATTGCAAGCAAAAGCTTTTCATTCTGGGTTTACACGCTCTCTTCTACTACTGGGGCTCTGTGTAGTCGGTACCACTTTTCCTCCCACATCTGGTGACTGCCGAGATTATTTTAGTACAGGAAACTCATTGTCATGTCAACAAACCAGGCTTGGAATATTTGAGCTTTGTGACATGACACTTTATCCTACTGAAAGGAGCCAGATGATGGGTACACTGTGGGTACACAGAAAAGGATGGATATAGTCAAAAACATTATTCAGGTAGGCTCTGGCTTTAAACAAGGATTCATTGATACTAAAGTGGCAAGAAATATGACCCATACTATTACACCACAACACCAGCCTGAACCATCAACAGGTTGGATACAGGCTTGTTTACACTAAAATATGAAAAATCAGTACTCATCAGATCAGACAGCATTTTTCCATGGTGAGCAAATTTTTGCCTCAGTTTCTTGTTCTTAGCCAACAGTAACAGCACAGGTGTGGTCTTCTGCTGCTGTAAGCCATCTGATTCAAGTTTTAACCTGTTGTGCACTCAGAGATGTTCTTCTATAAACTTTGTTTGACAACAACAAGGCATTTTCACCCAGAGCTGCAGGTCAGTGAATATTTTCTCTTTTTCAGACCATGACTGTATCCTCTTGAGATGGTTGCATGGGACAGTTCCAGTAGATCAGCAGTTTATGAAATATCCAGATTCACTTATAATCAACCATCTTTCCTCCTCATTGATGCTCAGTTTGAACTTCAGCAGGTCTTCGCGATTATGTCTACATGCCTAAATGTATTTAGTTACTGCATTGTGATTGGCTAGTCAGATATTTGCATTAATAAGCAGTTGAGCAGGTGAACGCAATAAACTGGCAGGGGAGTGTGTACTGATAAAGAACACAAATACTCTTGGTTAAATCCCACAAACATTAAAAAAAAATGTTTGAGCTTAAGCTACATATGACCTAAATATGGTGACATGGTTTGGTTTGAATAAAAATCAAATGAAATATGTCTTTCAAGGAAAAGAAATGTTTGAAGCATTAGGCATACACAAATACACAAACACCAACAGCCTCATAAATGATTTATTATCAACCGGCACGAAACAGTGTTTATGTACAGGGTCATGAATGAACCTTCATATGTGATGTTTCTGAAAATCAGGTAATTTTATTTCAGTATCAAGCTAACATGCGTGGCATCCCAAACATATCATGTCTGCTAATCTCCATGTTACAAAAAAACCCAGTTTAAAATATCTAGCCTGAAACAGTTTGCTGCATTATCGTGATTAGTTGGATTAATCTGTTAGGATATAATCTGGTCTACTGTGACTGCGCTGAATTCGTCTGTAATCCTCCGTCTTTTGATTTCTTGACCTTGCAGACAAATGTCTGAAAGACTGAGGAAAGCACTTCAGAGATGGACATAACTTTGAAAGCAGTGTCACAGTTTCTGAGCTAAATTCCAGTTGAAACTGGCTATGGTCATCGCACTGCAGTCTGTTACTGTCTGCACTGATACTACATACAAAATATAATCTTGTGCATTTGTACAACACACACGTTAGCTGCAGATGTATCTTGTGTATCATTTGGCATTTGATTTTTTTATGTACTTCTTTTGCTTCTAATCGGACATGAACTGTAAATTTAGCACCCGTGTCACTTCAGCTCATGCCCCTTTTACATGATGTCAACAAAGGCTATTTAAATTCTAATTCTTCAAACTCAGATGTCTCACAGTATTCCCAGACCTTCAAAGTGAATAAAACAAAACAAAAACAAAACACCTTTTTGAACTAATGAATGCTTTGTGAAAATACGAGAGTTCTGAGCTATTCTTATATTTCATGCGCAGCGTCCTTGGCTGATTGGAATTTAGCCCTCGTTTCTTTGGCTGACGGAGACGCAGTTTCCTTCACAAGTCTCCAGCTAAAGATTTCCTCCGTCAGCTCAATGATATTCTGACCTTCATCATATAATCTCTGTTGTGTTTCTCTTTTTTCCCCACATTCCTCTTTTACACTGTATGTTTCCACAAACCCACAGACCCAATTAATACACACTCATACACATATCCATACACGCATATGTACGGCACACACATGTGCTATGCATATTGATTCATCATAAAACTGTCTCGATTCAGGGCTCTCTTCATTTGTCATTCTGCATTTCCTTCCTCTCTTTCTTTGGCATCCTCTTTGTCTTTGTGGCGATGACCTTCTGTCAGACTGTCCAGGAGACCACGCTGATCCCTCTGTGCCTTGCTTTCTTCTTTTAGATCCAACATGAAAAGAAATTTCCAAAGTGTAAGTGTCCATACTTGGTATAGGTGCCAGCGAAAATCCAAAAATGGGAACGCCTATCCTAGCTTACCCACCTGAGGCTTTCTGCTGCCTTTCCTCATCATGTTGCTCCTCTTCTTCCCCTGAAGAGGACTCTGTGTCTACAGACTTCATGTCAAGTGAGGACAAATGGGCCTGTGCCATCTTCTGGACAGCTGAAAATACAAATCAGTTATGATGAATGAAGTTACACTGCAAACATTTTACTAACAAAAATACCAATTTTTCCAATCATCTGTCCATTGTCCTCTAGAGGACAAAGAATAGGTTGATAAAAGAGATTATTGTGTTTGGATTTGTATATCTAGAGTTGTAATGTTACACATCAACTGTGTGCAATGCGTGTGAAATCTAACACTTGCTCTTTACTAATTTTGGCTTTGATTGATTGACTTAACAAATGATATCCCCTTTGCTCTATTACCACTATAACAGGATCCTTTGCTTATTTTGATATGAAACTGGGTGAACAGAACCAGCCATGTGGACCTCATTTAGTTGAGCAGGGTGTGTGTTGTAATTCTACTAAGGGGAAGAGGCTGGGGTTTTGGTATTCCAGTGGTATATAGGGAGTCACAGAGTCATTTTGATGACTACCACTGTTTAGTTAATATTTCTGGATGAACTTCCAAAACTAAATCATCTATCAGTTGCCTTAACCTCCCATCTACAATAAGACCTGTACCATGTTTAAATGAAATACCCTCTCTGATTTTTATTGGGTTAGTTGATGAGGAAGAAGATCTCATGATGTTTTGTCTCCAGATGCAGATTCAGACTTTGAAGATCCATTATCCAGTAGTTCATTTGTCCTCCAGTTATTCACTAAGCCAGAGTTTAATGATTTAGTAAGAGATTTGGATATGCCAAAGGACGCACTTGAGTTGTTTGTGTCTATGCTTTTTCTTTTAATAAGAATCATGAAAAGGATCCTATTCGATTCTTTGAAATGTTCTTTAGATAGAAATAGAATAGCCATTCATTGCAAATGTATGAGAAATTCTGGAAAATGTGCTTTGGCAGCAGTGGGATTTGAACCCACGCCCCCGAAGAGACTGGAGCCTTAATCCAGCGCCTTAGACCACTCGGCCATGCTACCACTGCTGTCTGAGTGGAGGCTATTCATTGACAGCTCGAAACAGAACCTATAATGTGTCCACGGGTGATCGTGGCTCAAGAGTTGGGAGTTCGCCTTGTAATCGGAAGGTTGCTGGTTCGAGCCCCAGCTTGGACAGTCTTGGTCGTTGTGTCCTTGGGCAAGACACTTCACCCGTTCCCTACTGGTAGTGGTGCAATGTAGCTTGCCATCATCAGTGTGTGAATGGGTGGATGACTGGTTGTGTAAAGCGCCTTGGGGTCCTTAGGGACTAGTAAAGCGCTAAACAAATACAGACCATTTAGTGCATGCATGCCAAATGGCTGTTTCTTGTTAAAAGAAACATATGAAAATTTGCAAAATGTTTTGGAGAAGCAGAAATACAATTAGCACAAATGGACCAAATGTGAAAAAAGGTGACAAAAAAGATTTATTATTTAAACGGATATTTTTGAACTCAGCATCACTGATCAGGTCAGAATTGTTTTTAATTTTTTTATACGGGTTAGTATAATCATTTTGGAGTTAGGTTTCTAATCGCCTGTCTGGTCATTTATCTAATAATCAATATCCACAGGAAAGCACTATGTCATCTGCATATAGAGACAACAAGTTAATGCCAAGGTAAAGATAAATAATGTTCTATGAAGCAATGAGAATATAACAAACTCATGAAGCTGTTGAGCTATTAAAATAAAGTAAAAATCAATCTTAAAATTTTGTTACATTTTTTTAATGTGGATTTTCAATTTTAAAATATACATGCATGTCTTATGAAAGGAAAATTTTTTTGTTATATAAAATTATAAATGCTAAACATCACTCAAATAAAATGAGCAAAACCCAGTTAATATTATGAGTGGCAACTGTCATGACTGCAGGTGCCAAAGCCACAATTTCCACAAAATAGAAGACGCATAAAAACGTATGTTGTATAGATATTTATAACAACATAGTTGGTTTTTTTGTGTGTATTTAAGTCTGTGTGACTCTGGTTGCATCTGATAGTGTGTGTGCATGTGTCAGCGAGTGGGTGAGACCATGTTACAGCTGTGCAGCCATTCTATAATCCAGGATGATCCAGAACAGACTCACAGCTGCCACTGCTCCTAATCTTACATGACACACACACACACACTCTCATTGTGGTTTTTGGATATGTGCGTAGTCCAGACAGATAGAGACCACATGGTGGTTGCCACAGCAGAATTAGGTCTCCCAAATTCTTTCATTTGGTGTCATTTGTTATATAAACAAGAAAAACCAGTGTGTGGGTACAAGGGAAAAACACACACAAAATGATTTGAGTCAGGGTTCATTTACCTTTAAGAGATGGCGGCTGGTAGGTTGACATGTGAACCAGTTTGGCTTTCAAAGCTCCATTTTCCCCAAGAACCCACTGCTGAAATAAAAAAAATGCAAACCAGGGTTTAAAGCTAAAAGTGTACGCAACACTTTTTTGTCTTATTGTTGCCTCAAACAAATGATACAATATAAGAAATCTAATAATCGCTCCTTTCCAGTTGCAAGGATTAGAGCAGAAAGGCAGTAATGCACAATGTGCAGGTTTGTCAGCAAAAGTCAATGAAAAGATAAAACAAAATGTTAAAGCACTTTCATACTTGTAACAGGTAAATTATGGAGTAAAACATAAATAAAAACGTCATCACTTATTCACATATTTGTTGCGTTATTAAGTGAAGTTGCAGAATTAGTTGTCACTGTAATGTACATAATGTAAATAATCGAATTTGACATTTCCTATGAAAGCTTTTCTGCAGCTGTTTTAGAAACAGCTTGAAAATGTAGAAGCTGGTTTTAAAACAGAAAAAAAATATTTTTCCTCATCAATAAGTCAAAATTTCAAGTTATTATTTCAATTTAATAACTTGGAAATTAAAGTTATTTTTTCAGTCTCTAATTCTTTTCTCAGACGTTTGAGTTAGGAAGTGACATGTTTGAGATACCTATCTGGAAATTTTGATATAATAACCTGAAACTTTGACTTAAATAACAAAATGTGGGCTTAATGATAACAAAAAAAACTAAAGAGACATTCAAATTGCACATAGAAAGTCAAAACACCACCTTTCCAATTATTTCATGATTGCATTGTACTGTGGTCTTTTGGAACTTATGACGACTGTATCGTTGAAATTTGATTCAAACCTTTTACTACTGGATCTTTAACTTGTATAATTCACATGCATATCTACCTGATGTGGGCTGCTGTCTTCTTCTGGTGATGGTGGGTCCGTCAATCTGAACAGCGTGGCAGGTGTCGGCCTCCGACGACGAATCTGCAGAAAGAGAGAGATACAAGAGGTTTTTTTCTTTAGGGCTTCACTGCTTCAATAATCAGCATTCATTTATTCTAAACTGTGGTTTATGGCATGTATGCAGAGGACTTGTTCTTTGAAAGTTAGATGCATTAAAAAATAAATGCATATCATTATGCAACAACATTCAAGAGACTGTCCAGCTTGTTTGTGAATGAGGATTACGTTTTATGATAGAAGGCAGAAGGATTATTTAAATTATAAATAAATTTAAATAAGGATTATTTAAATGTATTTCCTTTTCTGCTACAAGTTCCTATCGCGTGGATGAAATCATTTTGATTTTTCTAGTTCTTTTGTAACATGTTTACAGTATGTCTCCATCATACAAAGCAGCCGGTACTTCTTCATCTCCTTGTCTTTTATGTGTGAAGCAGAGAGAGTCAAAGTAACCACAAAACACACAAAACATTAAATATACACCCAACTGCCAAATTGTTAGGCACACCTGTTCAACTGCTAGTTAATGCAAATATTTAATCAGGAAATCACATGACAGCGCATTTATGCATAAAAGCATACATAAAAAAAGTTCAAGCCTTTCTTTACGTTTCTTGAAGAAAGATGATTTAAGTTACTATGAATGCAGCATGGTTGTTTGTTAGGAAGTCTGGTCTAAGTATCTCAGAAACTGCTGACCTACTGTGATTTTCCTACACAGCTATCAATAGAGTTTACAGAGAATATGAAAAGAAAATCAGGTCAGAGCAGAATAGTCAGACTGCCTTGAGCTGAAAGGAATGCAGCAGTAACTCAAGTGAAAACTTGCTACAACCAAGGCAGCATTGAAGAGCAGAAGAAGAACATGTTGAACCTCGAAGCAGATCGGCTGCAGCAGCAGACCACACCAGGTGCCACTCCTGTCAGCTAAGAACAGGAAACTGAGGCTACAGTTTGCACAGGCTCACCAAAATTGGACAACAGAAGTTTGGAAAAATGTAGCCTAATCTGGTCGGTCTTAATTTTAGCAGCAGCAACATGAAGCTGCTTTTCTAAGTTTACCTTTTTGTGTTTGAGTCCTGCATTTGGGCCCACTTCCTACCTGCCACAGCAGTCATGACACTGCTGGAGTGTAATGGTGGGGGAATATTTTCTTGGAACACTTTGGGCACTTTAGTACCAACTGAGTATTGTTCAAACACCAGTGTGTCTGTCCCTTTATGACCACATGTGTTTTCCAGCACCTTGTAGGGTCTATTCAATGAAAAATGAAGGCAGTTCTGAAGGTATAAGAGGGCCCAACTCAGTACTAGCAAGTGTCCGATGAGTGTTTATCTACAGCATATCCCGACCTGTCACATTCCTCTGATAGTTGGGCATGGCAAAACTAAGCCTGTCAGTAATATGACTTGTAAACGAACTCTCTAACTTTTAATTCGGTTCAAAAAGAGGCAATTTGAGGCCACGGGGCAAAATTTTGCTGTATTCGTCACCTCCTGTGACACGTGAATACATTGTATTAGTAATGCTCTTGTATTCTTGGACCTTCAGTTTATATTTTACTTTCCCATAACATTTCAAAGTGAAATAATCTACTTTTTCATGCACTATTTCTGGATAGTTTTCAGATTAAGATTTTAAAGCAGAGTTGTTAAGGTCATTTCCAGGTTTCAAAGTCCCAAAAGCAAAATACATAACAACTGGGTAAATAAATTACTGAATGAAAATACCATATTTACAAATCAATTAATTTCCTCCACACTAAATAAAGTAGGCACAATTAAGAATTTATTTTATAAAAACAGCAAAAATCCAATAATATAACACTGTTACGATCCTTATTGTGTCCTTTCATAGAATTTTTACTTTTATTAGATTGATTACATTTTCTCACCATTATTTTTATAACTTGTTATTTATGGAAAACACACACTATACTCATCGCCGGCTCTATTTTGTGATGTGTGATGGTGATAACATTGTTATGAGATACAAGTGGCTGCCAAGCCAATCACAGCGAAGAGTGTAGGCATTGAAATGTGTGGGCAGCTTTCACTCTGGAGTAACTCTCACATCTTCTGCTTCCCTTTGTGCACTGCATTCATCCATATTCATGAGTCACACACTAGAATTAAATATGCAGCCCCTTTTTGGGGGGGAGCATCCTATTAGAGGTTAAAGATGTGTTAACATGAAAATATGAGTGTGGCAATCCAATAAACACATGAAACATGTGCACACAGCACTCAGGAGGGAAAAAAAGGCATGTGGGGCCAAAGGACCAAACCACATTTTGAGCACCTGTCTGAGAGCCTCTTCAGACATAGTGGCCTGTGTTTTGTTAACACTGTAGCCGGAAGGTCAAGCACCTGCAGAGAACATATTTTATTTTCATCAGATCCTTGTTGTGCATGTCTGAAATTCCTGTAAATACCACTGATTGCTCAGTGTGGCTGCAGTGGAAGTTTGATTTCACTGGAAACAAATTAATGTTTCATAGTTCCTCCTCACATGCTGGGCTTATTGTGTTTGTTATTTTAGAATAATAAATAAATAAATAATTTTAACATTGTATTTTATAATATGGACCTTATTATTTAGGTGATATTCTATTCTTCAGGTTTTTAAAAACTGTATTACCCAAAGCGTTTTTTGAAAATGCATTTTATTGGTCCAATAATGTCTCAAACCAGTGAGGTCTAAGTTATCATGTTATCATTGATG